TCCGTCTGTATTCTCAGGATACACCCAACATAACATGGTGATGGAGTGTTGAGCATCTAAGCCTCCATTATTTGGGAACTCGATGTAACTGTTGCTTTGTCCCGTGAATTGGTACGAGCCACCGGCCTTGCCATCGGGCCCAGCTGCTATGCTAACACCAACAGGGGTACCCTGGGTTTGACGATTTTTTATTTCCCGTGTTGTATATTTGCTGTTCAGGGGATAAAAGGCGATTGGATCTGGAACTCTGACGGCTGCAAAGTTGAACAAAAAGGAAAATTCTCAAACTCATTAAATTATTGATCAAGTTTTCAAAAAGGAAATATTGTCAGTAACGGTGTTTTAGTATCTGAACTTATTTAATATAGATTTTGAACGATTTTACTGCTCCGTTTTTTCCCTAATTCTAAGTTCGTTTGAGAAAATGTATTAAACACTCGAGAGAAAAAAGCATTATATTGGACGATTGCTTATGCAAAATGTTACTAACGTTATTTGAAATTATCTCGGTCATTTTAGGGGATTATCAAACGCAGCGATAAAGATGTCTTTTGCTGAACGTAGTTACATCATTTTAGAGCTATTAAATTAAGCTATTAATAATCGTCCAATAAAAACGCAAGCGATAAAAAAGCTGCGCGTGGAATATTTTTTCAAAACCTTCATTCAACTGATTTGACTTTGAGTTCTGTCCTTGTTTCTTGGTGCACCTCTTTCAATTTGTCGAACAGAAACCAATTGCTAGCTTCGTATAACTGTTTTTGTTTGAAACTGATCCTGGAATTATAAACATTAAACATAACCGTTTCAACGTTAACTCTATTGAGGTCGTTATGTTTTATATTCTATATACTCCTAAAAAAAAGCTTACTGTTAGCTTCATCTTGAAAGACGTAAACATTGTTTTCATAATGACCCCCTTTGCCGTCATTTGTGCAGTCGCTACTCTTGCCATATTTGTTAAACGTCTCCAGTGCGTTAGCGCTCGCTGCACACCATCCACCATTTTGAACTGCAAAGGCAGGGAAACCTCTTTTGCGAGCTGCGACAGCGCACTTGACAATTGCGTTCTGACGGCTGCGGTAAAACAATGCCCCGCCATCCAAGACTGGGTCTGTGTCTTCAAGTGTTGGAATTGCACGATCTTCGGTGTCTCTATAGCATCCAAAACCTCTATAATCTATGAAGAGAGCAGGGTCTAACTAAATAAAATATTTTTATACCATGCCATAGAAAATACAGCCAATCAGAAAACAGGAAAGTCGTTGTATATTCGAAGGCATTACATCCAACCTTCCCATCGTGCGCCTCGGGTAACTATCTAGTAACATCAAAAGCAGTTTTCAAGTTATTTCTTTTTCAAACAATAATTGCCCGAAATGATTTTCTATTTTTCCTTAGAGTTTATGTAGATGAAATCCAAGTGACGAACTAGTCGCCTATCTCATAATTGTTGGACCTTATTTTATAGTCAAAAGTTGAACCCTTCACTTGTTCAGCTCAAGAAAAAAAGATTTAGAAGTTTTCTTTCAGTAAATCATTTTGCATACAACCAAATATTTAGTATAACCAAATTTATATAGTTAAGATAACATGACAAACGATAAAGCTACTTTTGATTTTCTGTGTGTTTGCGGCAGCAAATTGGCATAAACTGAGTACTTGTTTTAGTTGAAGAGTAATACCTTTGATATAATAGACTTGATTAACATTTGTTCCACCTTCACCATCATTTTCACAGTTCGAGGACATTCCATATTTGTTGAATGTTCTTTCGGCTGTAGAACTCGATGCACACCATCCACCAGCCTGAAGAGCGAAAACTCTGAAGCCTAGTTTCTTGGCCACTTCATAACATTTGTAAATTGAATCATTTCTCGTCCGAAAGTCGCCGTCCAGGATGTCATCCGTTCCTTCTAGGGTAGGGATCGCACGGTCCAAACTGTCGTTGTAGCAACCGATCGTCTTATAAACTGACAGATAAAATTTATGTATAGGTTATCACGTAACTTTGACAGAAATTTGGAATAAATACAACATGATTAAAAAATTTTCACTGACTAACAAAATCGCACGTGCGAGTAAGCGCATTTTGGGCTTTATTTATTACTCATTCCAAATGATTACGCAAGAAAAGCACTTGATTATACAACAAATGGATGGGGTCATTTGCGCTTTGGCCACCAAGGCATTTTGCATTCAGTATATGAAAGTAATTATATCCTTCAACCTCACACACAAAGAGCTATAAATCTCATCAATCATTATTGAGTAAATTTCAATGTTTGGGGGCCTTTCGTACGTGGCGTGATGTTGCGTGGGCTCCATTTACGTACGGAGGAACGCAGGCTGGTAATCGAGGCTAGCATTCGCGCGGTAAAAATGTTGAGAGTATATTCTTATGCACAAAGGAACGAGCGATTTAGCAAATGAACTTACGAATGAACGAGAAAACGAGCGAACGAACGAGCGAGCGAACGAGCGAACGAAAGAACGAAGGCACGAAGGCACGAAGGCACGAAGGCACGAAGGCACGAAGGCACGAAGGCACGAAGGCACGAAGGCACGAAGGCACGAAGGAACGAAGGAAGGAAGGAAGGAAGGAAGGAACGAACGAACGAAGGAAGGAAGGAAGGAAGGAACGAAGGAACGAAGGAACGAAGGAACGAAGGAACGAAGGAACGAAGGAACGAAGGAACGAAGGAACGAAGGA